CTGCTGGGTCAGCCCTTTGGACATGGCAGAGGATTGCGTGTCCACTTAAGGTGCCCATACACTGCACGATTGTACGAGAATCGTGGGAAATCGTACGATAATCGCAAAGTGTATGGAAGGCGTGCGACCGTTTTGACTGTACGGTCGCACGTCTTCCATCGAACAAGCAGGCTGGACGACCTGCCGGGAATCGTACAATCCTCGGAGAGTTATTGGCCTGCTTGTTCGACAACTGCCGAACGGGCCAGTGTGTGCATGCACACACTGCCCGTTTGCAGTCATCGGAAGCCCGCCCCTCAGGGGGGCGGACTTGTGATGATCGCAAGTACGATCTGCCTGTCCAAGATGGGCAGATCGTACGTTTTTTAAAGTACTTTACAACTGGCGAGGGTTGTAAAGTGTATGGCCACCTTTAGACTGGAGGAAGAGGTGACAAAGGTGAACCAAGATGAAATGTTTAATTAAAACTGTTTGATGAGAGCTACATATTAGGGGCTCAACTGATATTGTTTTTTTCAGAACCGATACAGTTTATGGGCCACCTTTCAGGCCAATAACCAATATCTGGTACTGATATCGTTTACCTCCAGCTGCGCTAGCAGCCGAATGTAAACAGCAGGCAGTCGCCTGATATCGGCCACCCCAGTTACCTTCCGGCAGCTGAATGTAAACAGGCAGTGCAATAGCCAGCCTGCTATTGGCCATTTCAAATTGCAATAGCCAGCTGACTTTTATACCTGCCAGTGCCTGCTGTAAATCAGCAGAGGAGCAGACCTGAAGGAGAAAAGTTCTCCTTCAGGTCCAGTACTCTGCTGATTGAGAACAGGCGGTGGGTGGGTGCAGTAGCCAGCCTGCAAATGAAATATGCGAAATATGCAAGTGATGTGTAATATGGAAGCAACAAGATTGGCTGCACAGAATTACAAATCCTTTGGCAAGCAAAACCATAAACGCATGTATTTAAACTGTGCCCTTAGTGGTTTGCCAGATTTAAAAACCTTCCTTCTAACATGCACTTGGCTTCCAATGTTTGCAAACCTATATGGCCATAAGACTAATGAAGCCATTAGGGTAGACTTCTGCACACCATAAAAGATTTGCTTTAAGAGAACTATGGGGTAACCTTTTTATCCTGTAGTTCTCTTTAGGGTCACTGGAGGACATATACTAATATCCACCAGTGACCCAAAGCTCAGGATAGAGAGAGCTATTGCCGGCTATATACACCAAGAGCGCTGCTACCGGGACGGATTCAGACAATACGGTCGAGATCCACCCAGCTGGCTGATTGACAGCGGGCTCTGCCCATCTAGAGGTAGAGCCAGCTGTGCAGGCCCCTCCACTGTCCATCCCTGCAGTCAGCGCTGGAGGATCAGAGAGGGGGGATCTCTGCGGGGAGCAGTGACTGACCGTCACTGATCTCTGCAGGGAGATATCGGGAAGTGAGAGACTATATGTTCGCTCACTTCCCGATCTATAGAGCAGACGTTTGACAGTTCCAATGTCACACGTTGGCTCTAACTATGAGTAAATCACTCACCTCATAGTTTAAAAAGTGTACCCATCTTTCCCCTTGCTAAAATGCTGAACATACAAGTAAAAAAAATCCCCCCCATCATACCCAGCGATGACAAATACTATAGCAATCTCTGAAGTCAGTCTTGCTTGTAGGCACAGCAAACATTTACAGGTATTCTCTAGTAGTAACTGCTTGAGGACTTGTATCCTAATATAGTAATCGAGCCAATTGGCTAGCTACAGTCACCTGCAGTGCCATCATTTTTACCCCTCCATTAAAAACGTCATGTATGGTTCTTCAGAGTAACTATACCTGGAATAGTATGTAGATATGACTAGTTTACTCACAAGGAGAAGCTTTACTCATCACGCATCTCAACCTTTGCCAATCCATTGAACCAATGCATTAGAAATTGGAGCGGCTTCCAAGCCACTGAGTGAAATCAGAAAATTGTGCGATATAATCTAGATATTGTTTGTGGAGTGTATCCATTGCTCTTCCAGCCGCTTTACCCTAAGAAAATTCCACCCTAAAGAGGCAAATTATGGAATGGCAACACTGTGGATGTTGAATACAGCAGATGCCAATAAATCCACTTACAAGAAAGTCATGAGAAATGTCAATACGGTCATTATCCTCTCCTCCAAAAATGGAAGCTGCCAGGCTCGTCATTCTGAACCTTTTGTTTCAATGCTTTGAGTTGGTCAGGAACAAAAAAAGAATCAGCAGAACTCAGACACTCAAATCTACATACATGTTCCAGACCATTATCAATACTAAAAAACACAGTATGTCAGCATAACAGCCAGGCAAACTAGCATTTTCAGAAGGATGCTGTCCGTGAGACTGCACAATATGCCATTTTATTTTGTCCACACTATGCTCAAGCAGTAAGCAGTGTCAGCTTTTAGCGACCTGCATTCTACCAATTGACAACTTCTTCATAAACCATCTTAATGTAGCTGTGACTCCACCTCCCAGAGTGACAAGGCAGATGAATCCCACTGGTAGGAACCATGGATGGTTCCAAGGCTGCAGGTGACAATACAAATGGGTCAATGGGGTGACATTAAAATGTGTCTTGTTTTCTATGAATACATGGTATGGGTGAAATATGAAGATGAATAAAAAAAATTCACCACATTTTTTACTATGTAACTGTGTAAACACAATGGATGCAGGCATGGCATTTACTATCACAATGGCATTTACAGATACTTTAATAGCATGCACTTCTCACGGTCTAGTTTTTATGCATGCTATTAGAGGAAAGGCCAGATCTACTAAATAGGACAAGATTTTTTTATTACTTCAAGTGTTTAAGCCACCATATTCTTATTTTAGCATAGAGAACAAGCAGGCCTTATGCAGCCCTGAAACACTTGAAGATACTGAAAAGCACTAATACATGATGCTTGGTTACTTAAAATTATAAGAGCTTGAGGACAGAGTCCTCAATCTTTTTCTGCAGCCCCAGCACTGAATGAACAGAAATCCTCTACACTGAGTGTTTCTGTACATTCATAAAAATTGTGGTTATAGCAAGTTACTCTGTCCAGTCATGAATGAATAGGAAGTGATGTATAGCACTTTCCATTCATTCATAATTGGTACATTGAACATAGTATGAGATGCTGTTATTAACATTCAGTCATCACTGAATGTTTGTATACCGCTCTCCATCCTGGATCAGCTGTCACAGGAGGCTGAGTGGGTGCTGCGGGGAGAAGAGCGCAGTCTCATTTGACAGCCAACTCTGCCCCCGTACCACCAGCCCTGCCTCCTGCGACAGCTGACTCCACCCCCACAGCTCTCCATCCTGATTTGCCACAGATGACCGAGCGGGACGAGAGCAGAGCTCGGTCTCCTGCGATATTCACATTGCTCTCCTGCCCACATGGCTGCTTGAGTTTTTCCTCCTCGCTGGACACTGCGCTGTGTCAGGGGACAGAGCAGCACCCAGCGGGGAGGGGAGAAACACTGGACGCACTGTAATTTTGTGCCGTGCATTCCAGTGGCAAAAAATTTGCATGCAGTTTTTTTCTGAAGTAAATATGTTTGTATCATATGCTCCTTGTAGCCCCTCAGATTAGAAACAAGACTATGGCATGAATTCGGCATATAGACTGAGCCATAAAAGGATAATCCCAAGAAGAAAAAAAACCCAAAGTGGAATATTTGCAGCTGACTAGTCCTTTGATGTGGTGGCTACATTAATTTTATATTTTAGCCTAAGAACATTCTCAGCAAGTACAGCAAAATACCTGTAGATCTTGCCTGAAATGCAGTGTCCTTGTTCCTTCCCGTGAGCTGGACAGAAAGCAAAACAATTCTCTTATATAAGCTACTTATCCCATCTTCCCCTAGGCAATGGAAATGAACAAAAGCAGCACACATGTTTGAAGTCCAGCCTGGGTGGCCACCATGGCCCACTCCATAGATACAGTGGAGGCAAAAAAGGGGCTAAAAATAAAAAAGGGAAACATTCACGTCTATGGACTGACACTGCAATACGACTTTTCAGTTCAATACGCTTTAACTTATGTCAATGGTTTCTGGGCCCTTATAAAATTAAAAACATACCTATATAACTGTACTGAATATGCCTGAGTGTGAAGTGCAAGAACTGATAGCAGGGGTAGGCAATCTTGGCACAAAGCTGAGGTGAAACTACAAATCCCATGGAGGCATTGCAAGACAGATCCACAGCCATGACTACAAAAGGCATTAAAGAATTTGTCGTTTCCCCACAGTTGGCGTGCCAAGGTTGTCTACCCCTGATCTATTCCAACCTTTCAGAGTGGACTTTCAAGTTAATTTAGTCTAAGTGCTGCCAGAAATTAGACCAAACCCCCCACCAAATCTATTTCAGCATGTAGACACAAGAGTTTTAATGTGAGACTATAGGATACTTTAGAAGTGTAACTTTACAAGTCCAGTTATATATGAGGTGTGGAACTAGTAACCCTGGCGCCCTCCTCCTTGGTGGAGATAATCTAAAGGTCCAAGCTGAGAACTGAAATCACGTTACACCAGATCGGGCCTTTGTAAATGCTTGATTTGTATGGGACTAGTTGAACCAAATGAAGTAAAAAAAAATGGGATGGCTGTGTAATAAGCACATGTAAAATACCAGCTTACTGTATATAAAAAAAAAAAAAAAAAAGTTTAAAAAAATGGTATGGCCTCTACGGTAACTGCCCTTTTCCCATAGACTTTGCACTGCCAACATGACCGCTTCTAAGCATTTCAAAACATTTTTCATTGAAATGTTGTCAAGATGTCACTGTCAGTATAGATAAATGTAAAATGACCCTTCTAGATAACAAACACTAAAACATGGTCAGCAAACCAATGTTGCTTTATTGAAATACAGTGAATGCTAATAGCCGACACTACTGGCAAGATTACAGATTCACAAAAAAAAATTAAAATTAAAATACTACCTTTTCAAATACTTATAAGCCCCAAATATTGCAAAACTAACCACCATCTAGGCAGTAACACCTGTGTGTAGCATACTGGGGACTTCAATGCAGCAGAATTAATACACAGTCAAATTTCAATCAAATAAAAATGGATTTGTAGGCGTTCGAGAGTTTGAACTAGTCAAACAGGCTACTCAATAAGGAGAGAATCGCTGCTTTTCCGGTTTCACTTTAGTATACAGCTGGGTAGCAGAGGCAGGAACAGCAGAGGATGAGGTAGAGGAGGCGGTGGACACGACATTTAGAGCCAGGAGCGGGACGGGTTTCATGTCAAGCAGATTGGAGACACAAGGGGCAGTCGAGGGATTAGGGAGGCTGGAAGGTGGTTCCGAGGAAGAGGAGTTGGAGGCTGAGGAAGGTTCACCACCCCCGGCCGTGGAGGCGTTCACCAGAGGAGGGGCAGCGTTGGAAGAGGAAGGGGTGGAGGATTGAGAGATGCTGAGAAGGTCAGGGGTCGTGACGCTCTGGGAGGAGGAAGGTTTAGCAGTTTCTAGACTGTAACAGAGGAGAAAAAGAAAAGGGAACAAAAACAAAAACGGGTGGGTGGGAAGGTAGGTACAAACGGAGGAATACAGGAGGATAACAATGGAAGCGCAGAGCAAGCAGAATTATATCAAGCACAGGAAGCGTATTACAAGTTACTAGTGTTGGCATAGTGCAGAATATAAAACTACAATACAGTAGACCTATACCTCAGCAGGTTTATTCTCTGAAAGCCATTTCCAGTTTTACTGGAAATGAACCACTCTGCTTCTCACCCCTAACCTGGAGGAATACAGTCTCCCACAGGCTTTTGTCAAATTTGAAGAGCAACTTTAAAAATTATTGATAAAAGTATTTTGAATGCTTATGGTATTCTTTTTTTTTTTTTAACTTGCAATATCCCTCTTCACTTGCTATAACATCCTACTTCAGGAGAGACAATTCCCTAGCAGAACCCTGGCATGTCAAAGCTCTTTCCTCGCCTGAAGTGTAATTATGGTCTGTGGTGTCCCTGCTCCACCACCCCTTCTTACATAAAACTTATGTAGCCATCAGGGTAGCGGCAAAAGGCAATACTACAGAGTCACATCTCTAGGTCTGCTGGCATGGCATCCAAGATGGTGGCACCCAGCAGCGTACACTATACTTCTAAGGGTCACAAGGAAGGGTTTAACAGTTAAACATTCCCAAAATAGGTTACATTTTCTTTCAACAGGAAGATTGATTTAAATAGTCTGGTGACAAGGTCTTTAATCTTTTGGAAGGTCTAAACTTAATTCTGTCTGAATTAAAACCAATTTTAGAAGGCAAAAACTGCAATACCAGATTTCTCCAAAAGCTGGAGTTACAGCTTTGACTATTACTGCAATGACACAAAGGGGTCAAAAGCAGAGTTCCCCAAAAACTGCAATTCCCTTTTAAACAGGCAGGGGTCACCAATATTATTAGAGATTGAACAATGCAACTGTCTTTAATGTCCACTACAAGACCATCTGTTAAATATTTAATGTTCCCATTAGCACAAACGCAACTGCTGATGCGATTTGTAGTTGGGTTTGTTTCCTGCCCCTTCATTATAATGCATCTGAAGTGAAATACAAAGAATGCACTTTGACCATTAAATAATCTGTTGCGCTGCTCAGCTAAAGTTGTATTTATAATAATGGCTGGTAAATGTTTTTTTACGTTACGGGAGCATTGGAGCTGAATATTAGAAAACCTGTTTTCCTGAACACAGCTCTCCAAAATCCTATTTTAGGGCACCAAACTATGCCCTCAGGTTTGCAAACATGCAATTCTTCCCCACACCTAAAAATAGTGCTTGTCATTTTACATCTAGTAAAAAGTCAACCAACAGAAGTTGGTGTGCATTGGACAGCATAAAAACAGAGCTAAATACATTGTCTGTAGAGAACCACTGAAAATTGCTGATCACTTTTTAAAATAGTTGTGCCTTTAAACATGAACTTAGGGTCTTACCTGACATTGATTAGGTACTGGGCCAAACTGATGCTGGCTGTGGACCCAGTAATTGTAACCTGACGATCAGTGGAACCTTCAACGGGGTTAGCAATCTTAATCTGTGCTCCAGACATTTGGCGAATCTCATTTATTTTAGCGCCTTGACGTCCAATGATACAACCGATCAGCTGCAAGAGAAAACCTCAGATATATGGCAACTGTTTTTTTTAGATCAGCAACATCCAAGTCACACATTGTGACAGACAACTACACGATTTAGCATTTCAATAAAAGCCTAAAATTACCATCTCATTGAAAAGAAAGTTTGTATCTGAACAAATTTCTATTTTGGAGGGGAGAGTTCAGAAGAAGAAAAAAGAAACATTACACACATTAGGGGGTAAATGATAGACATACCAAAAAGCTCAAAATTAACAGAATAGAGCCGTTTAATCGAAGCAGCAAAACACTGCTGCACTACGGTAGTAGCAGAAAAGAAAAAAAGTTAAAGAAAACAGAAGCATATAAACCCGCTAGCCCTAATTTAAGAAACTGCTTTTAAATATGGAGTTGCCACGCTTTTGATCAAACTACAGGGCTGCAATCTTTACCCTAATTAATTTTGTGAGTGGGAGACTTCGGATAGGTATGCAGCAAGGGAATCACGGAGACACCAAATATGTACACTTGTTCTGAATCACCCATTCACCAAGTAGTGAACGAATAAACTTTGCTCTGGAGCTTGACAAGAACATGTCAAACAGCGTCCACACTCCAGACTGATTTCTTCTAAAAGACAAAGTCCACCCTTTCCGAAATAATCAATATGCACACCAAAAATAAATACAAAAACCCATTTGACTTTTTGCATTGGAGCATGCAAAGCGTTGCAATCGCGATTCAGCTCCTGCAGACTCTTCCTGCAAGCCCCTATCCTTACTGAGGTACAGCCTTTCAGTTACAGGGGAGAAGTGTCAATGGACTACCAGTGCAGAGGTCATCACACTTGTACACCATTGAGAACTGCAGTCCTACGCCACAGTAGCAGACAGGACATGCCGTTTTTCCAATCACAGGACGACGTGGCTGTAGCCAATGTCAAACAGCAACAGAATCCTGCAGGGAGAACACTGCGATTCTGGTAAGATGTGACCATATTTCACGTTAAACCCTAAATATGGATGCAACATGAAACATGGTACGTCTTTAAGCCATACTGTTAGGAAATGGTAAAGAGGCAGGTTTTTTTAATTGGCAAGGCATCTATGTGACTAGAGTAGAGTGAGCAGCAAAGAGGACACCACCTAGGGATCCTTACAGGAGTAGCTCAAACTGGCCATAACATGTGTGGCTTCTGAATGAAATCCCATTACAGTAAGGCCTCAAGCTCATCTTGACATTACAGCTATTTTTTTTCTGACTTTACACTAACGGCTTTACATTTTTGCCCTCTTGCAACACAGTGGGCTCATTTTAATCACAAACTTACTTTAAGCCCACACAAGTTTATACACTTACATCGTTTGGAATGGTGAGTTCATGGGAAGTTGTCTGAGCTGAAGCATCAATGCCTCCTGCAAATAATAAAAACAGATATTAAAGACGGTAGATCGAGCCTAAAAACAAAGCTTGGAGGGAGATGCCAGTCAAGCTGTGAAAGTGGAGCTCAGTTATGCATGACACATTTTGCGAATTAAAACAAGTGAAAACTAACTATTTAGTTGTCACTCAATGATCAGCAAAGTACCAGTCTACCTGCACTTTCTGCGTCCAGACATCAGTACTATGGAAGTCCAACATCTAAACTAACCAAGACAGCAACTGGCCAAAGTAGACCATCAGAACAATGCAATAAAGGAAGCATTTGAAAACACAAGGAAATTCATTGCTTCTTTATGGCAAAGCAACTGTGTGTAAACCCTTCTCAATTTACGCTCTGCCATCCAGCACACCCCTCTCTGTAGTAGCCACCACCAAAAATACCCAATGTCTGCATTAGGCGGGAGCAGCAATATCACCACCTACATTATGTAGCAGCACTTAGGCCTAGCAATTGGCCACTGGGCCTTAGTGCTGCATCATGGAGAGGTCACGTTCTTCCCCAATATCTGGATATTGGATGGGTATTTAGCAGCTGCCAAAAAAGTGCCAGGGAGTACTGAAGAGGAGAGCATAAAACGGTTGGGCATAGATGAGCACGGAGACAGGGTTTCTGTAAGGACTCTGGTAATCAGGCAATAGTCTGCCCACTGGAGTTCTACTGCATCAACCATTTTAATGCTGAACTGAGCCATTTTGTAAATTTAGTGGTTTTGCACAGTATACTTGCACACTAAACTTGCAAGTGTGCCCTACTTTATCCACCGACTGATCAATCTTTGGGTCTCCGCTCCGTCCTCTTTGGCCATTAGATGGCCACTGAAGATGTAACTTCTGTGCATGCTCCACAGCACACGACCCATTCATAACATCTCAGAGTACATGAGGTCCCTTATTTCTTTCAGTATTTGAGCTCTGCTTCCTGTCTTGCAGTGCTACACTGTGGCTGTGCCTACTTCTCCCTCTCTAAATACATGTCTAGACTCACTGAAAGCTAAATTTCTCATTCTGTCGGATACCTACCTCAGTTATTAAAGCCCATTTCCAGAAAACTAACCCTTCTCTAACCGGTTGCTGACAGCAAAAAAAACAATCTTTCCAGGTGTCCAAATTATTGCCTGCATGACAAGGACACTTCCTAGTTTGCAATTAAGTGTCGGGGACCTCACAGGATCCAGGAGCAATTTCATTGCAAATGGAAGGACCATCTGCTGCCTTCAATCAGCAGTCCCTTGCACTCATTAAGAGCACAGATGGACTAGGGGGTGATGACATAGTAGAGTACAGCTTGCTTAGGTAAAGAAAAATAACATCTGCAAGATGTGTTACAGGAAGGCATGGGAGTCATTTTGCCAAGAGTAGCGGTTTAAAATATCTACGCTTAGACATGGTCACTACCACTGCAAAATGCAATGGCATCAGTACTCTCCTGGTCGGTGATTCAGAACAAGTAGGCACATCCAGGACTCTAGCCATACTCTAATTATGCTTGCTGCATGACAATAGCAATTCAGTAACAGTACTGAATAGTATTAAAGGCAGAAAGGAAAATAGAAATATGTTGGCTGCCACTGACAACTTCTGAAAATGCCATCACTAAAAATATGTTGCAAAAATAAAGCCTCTCATTTGTCCTGCCCCAAATTGACTTGTGATTATTAATGGGTTCTGCCATGTTGCTAATGACAGAGGCGCCCAGCAGAAAGGGTACATCTTTGACCCCATGGTCATTGGCGTCAGCATGATGACTGCAGTCTCATAAGCAGCGACTGCAAAACCAAAAAGTAAACAATGCAGGGTGTGGGTGCTTAAGTTAGAATGAGCCAGCGGTTCCTTGTATTTACTAATCTGCTGCCTCTTCACTAAAGCAACCGTGAACTGCTTTATTTACTTTTATTAAAAGGTAATTTAAATTTAGCTGAGATGTGTGCGTTGTGCTGTCAGAACAGTTCTCACAAGGACATGCCCGGAGCGGAGTAGAAGCATACAATGAGGAGCAGGGAGGGAGAGCTGAGGCAGGGAAACAACCATTCGAGAAGTAGCCAAATTCCCTAGCTACTTTGAAGGCACATTTGAGGATAAAAGAAAATTGAGGCAAAATACCCCGCTGCAATTATGCTTTTAGTTTACTTATTTTCCACCCATTTATCAGATTTTTATTTTTTTTTAAATGGTGAAAGTCTCTTCAAAAAAGGCACATAAGCTGCTACTTCTTAAGGGGTCAGACACGGCAATAAGATATTCACTGTACACGTTAACATTAAAACTCAGTGTCACATTCCATAAACTGGGGACAAACTCTAGGAGGGATCGTTTCTACAACTCTTGGAGGGACTCCCCATAAATTTAGAAGACTCGGGAGAAAGCATTTGCCTATACCTCCTTTAAAAGGAGAACTATGGGGTCAGTGTTTTTCCCCATAGTTCTCCTTAGGGTAACGGGAGGACACAAACTAGCATCCTCCCGTTACCCTAAGCTCAGTATACAGCTCGCGGTATACCGAGACGCCGCAGCCGGAGCCGACCTGTGACAGGCTCATTGTCACAGGTCGGCTAGAACTATGAGGTGAGTGGAAATATTTCACCTCATAGTTCTCCTTTAAAGATTTCTTTTTGGTATCTTTAAACATGCATACCTTCTAATTTCACCAGACAAAACTCTTGACTAGAAGCGGTTATCCATAGGCCTAGTATTCCATACGTGTTTTTGATTATGAATAAATAACTTCCCTTCAGAATATGCAGCCCACATACTGATCTTTTGAGTGACAGACTGAAAGAAATTGCAAAGCTAGCAGTGAGCAATGTGGCTCAATAAGAACAGAAGGCAAGCAAAGATTCCTTACCACTGAATCCGGTGTTGCCGCTATGGGACATAGGGAAGTGAGATTGCTGCATTGCCAGTTGGTGTAACTTGGTCAGCTAAGGAAGAAAAATAATGGAGGTCTAGACAGATGCAAGGCAACTGGATTTTAACAAAAAAAAAAAAAAAAAAAAGTCTAATGTGAACAGAGTGCTTAGCTCAGTGTTCAGCTAAGAGACTGCAAATACAATATTAGCGCAGGGATGAAGTACACTCTGCATCTTTAGTACACAAGCAAAGCAGATATAAGCAAGGAGGTGCACTGCTTAAAATGCAAATCCGATTCTAAATACCCAGAACTACAACCCCCAAAAGCATTGCATAAAAGGCAAAAGCACACTTACATCAGGCTGAGGAATGGCATACTGTCCTTGAATGGTATAGGCCTATAAAAAGGAGCAAAAGGAGTTCAATTAAACCCATGTGACAGCCAGCTACACAAACATGTGTGAAGGCAAGTGCTAACCAAGCAAGACTGACCAGAGCAAGCGAGGCAGACTTAGGAAGGCTAAACAGCATGAGTGCTACACAAGGCACCAGATTTAAAAGGTGTCCACTGCAGCCAAAATTGTATCATGTGTAGGCTATGAGTGAGGAACAAACAGTGCAGTACTTCTAGGTCCATGTAGGACTGCCCAAGCATTAAGAGCATAGCACATGATCTGTGATAAAAAAAAACATTGGCATCCAAAAGTAACTGGTATTTTCATAAGTCATTTTTAATAAGTCTGCAACTATTCATTTTAGTAGCAGCTTATATATAAAAAGATTTTAAACACAATTCTTTAAAAATAGGAGTAAATGTCAGGACCTACCCCATGGAGATCCACAGCATCTAGGGAGACTCCCCCTGTGTGGGACCTTCGCCCCTCCCACAGGTCAGTCTCACATGCGTGCCCTCCGGCCTGGCGCGACACCTGTTGAACAAAGCGAAAACGGGATTCAGTTATCTCTGATAAAAGTCACAGCCTCAGTCCTCAGACGTCATAACCCCAGCCACCACATCCACTATAAACATTGGAAAGGATGAGTTGGGTCATGGATCCAAAATGAGGCCACAAGTTCAAGCTATTCCTTAACTTCACTTATACCTATTCTCCATGTATAAACTCAAAATGCATTTTAAACCAAAACAACTGCAACAGAAATTTCAGGCTGTGCGATAAAAGGATGCCTATGCCACAATTAAATATCAGCATTCAAGAGCTAGTCAGAACTGTAACACTGATCTCTGTAAAAGTAAAAAAAGTTATTCCACCAACAGTGCAGTGTCTGGTATAAATGGTAAGTGACATGACCTTTCTTTAGGTCTAAACGCATCAACTTAACGCTAAATCTTTAATTCAATACCAGCCTGAAACATTAGAACATGGAATGGATTAGCAGCCACTAAGAAAAGGGATCAGAAGAAGTATATTACGTAACAGAACTGAATTGTTTATCAACCCTGATGGCACAGAGGCTGTGCAGGACTAGACCTAGTACTACCTAGAAGCGTATCTGTATCCCTTATCAATGCGCCGCAGCACACAAGCACGCCACATAGGACGTGCTGTTACAGAATTGTGGCATGAAGTAATCCTATATAGTACAATCTGCAATACAGCACTCAATTCTTAAAGATATATGGTGAGCTCATTATGCGTCAATCATTTTGGATCCATGATCACAACTCTTCAGTGAAAGGGGAAAAAAAAAGTGAAGACTTCATAAGGCAGGTACTTCCATCAGAGACACTTAACACTTTGTTCAAAAAAGGTGACACAACAGGTACAAACAAGGTTATTTGATATACAATGGCCTGTTCAGACTGAACAAATTTAGCTCTGGGAGGCAAGTAAAGCAGATTCTAAGCCAACCGCCAACATTTCACAGATGAAGGGTTCCTCTGCGCAGTAGCTGTAGGATAAACTCAGTAGCCTTCATATCTAATAACCTTTGATAAGATTACTTTTCAGATGTGCACCAGCAATAAAGATCAATGTATAACACCTATAGAAGTATGAGATGTAAACTGAACAATTAGGCCATCTGGTAGCTGGAAAAATTAAGGATTGGTTCCTATTTACGTAAATACAGTTTGAGAGTTTAGGTGCAAAGTAGTGCAAATCGCAGGAATTCATAGAAATTTACCAAGCTTGTGCTACAGGAAACTAATTCTTTTAACAGGAATTACAAGTTGCATAAGTATATATACACTGCAACAGATAAGCTTGGTTGACCTGGATATTTTAGATTGCAACTTTTGAATAGTTTAAAGTGACACTAAACTCAGGAGTTAAACTTTAAAAATGCATTAAAGAACCGTAACCATTAGCAAAAATGTATCTTATTTGTGTATCACTCGGCTGAAGATCCTCAAATCATCTCTGAATTGGTACTGACACTGTCCTTCCTTCTGGAGGGGGGCTACTTTTGTTCCCCATGGTCCCTGTGTGTGTTGTAAAGTAGTCACCGCTCCAAGCTCGCTCGTGATTGACTACAATCTCAGGTTTACTAATTTGTATTGAGAGATTGTAGTCCATCACGGAAGTGAACTTGGAGCAGTGACTACTTTACAACACACAGGGACCATGGGGAAGTAGCCCCCCTCCAGAAGGAAGGACAGTGCCAGCACCAATTCAGAGATGATATGAGGATCTACAGCTGAGTAATACACAAGATACATTTTTGTCAATAGTTAAGATACTTGAATGCATTTGTTTAAAAGGTTCAACTCCTGAGTTTGTCACTTTAAATAAACAAGATTGAGAAATTAGACAGGACCACCGTCTCCATATCAGACAAAAAAAAAAATGTAGATTGTAGTTATGTACTAGGAGATAAATTGAGCATCAGGGATTTGTGATTGATTTGGTACGGAGCACCTAAGACATGCAAGTTCTGAAACTGGGCAATTTCTTTCCACAACCACCAAATAAGCAGCAGTGCCTTTCCTTTTTGCCAAAAGTAATGCTGCACTGTGCAAAGAAAATAGTAGTAGCTGTTCAGTGGGGTTAGAGTTGTCTTATTTCAAGTTTAGGCTAGGATGGGTTAAAACCAAATGTTTGTGACAATCTCCTCCACTTCCCCCCCCATCATGGAGACCAAATATTCCTGCTCACTTGTTCTGGCAACCACACAACATTTGGGATTTGCCCTCATTTTATTTCAAAATGATCACCAAGACAAAGCATGAATCTACCTAGTATGGACACAAGACAACCCCGGGGGGGTACTAATCCTTCCCTACCCAAAAATTGTAACTGGCTACACATACACTTTACACACTTGTGCATCAACACGGAAGATCTAGACCCACCCTATGTGCAACAAATAATCTAAAGCCCAAACCAAAAAGTGTACTTCAATTAGGTGCTGCAATATTTGTCAAGCTTTTTCTATCATTTTCACCTGTTGTCCCGCATATAACACTTCCTGTCCTTGGGTGGCTACACTCACTGTACTGCATCTATTGGAGAAGCTGCAACCCAGGCTGGACTTCAAAATATCCATTAGATGGATGATAACATCCATGTTACAAGACAGATAACATTGCTTTAGTCTCCAGTCCATATCATGGGAAATGACAAGCACACTGCATTACTGGCAAGATTTAACAGGTATTTTTCAAACTAGCTAAAAATGTTCCTATTCTGAGAAAAACAAATGGCACCACATTTAAGGACTGGTAGACTGCAAGATTTTGGTCATACTTAGGAGAACTATGAGATGAGTGATTTCCACTCCTCATAGTTCTAGCCGACCTGTGACAATGAGACTGTCACAGGTCGGCTCAGTAGATCAGGAGGTGAGCATACCGGGTTCGCTCACCTCTCGACCCTGTCACGGCTCTCTGCCGTGACAGGGGCTGGATTCCCCTCTCCGATCTGCCAGCGCTGACTGGCGGAACGGACAGGGGAGGGGGCGGGTACAGCTGGCTCTGCCTCTAGATAGGCAGAGCCAGCCGTCACTCAGCTGGGCGGATTGCGACGTCCATGTCGGGCTCCGCTCCGCCATCTCAGTATACCGCGAGCTGTAGCTCGCGGTATACTGAGCTTAGGGTAACGGGAGGACGCTAGTTTGTGTCCTCCCGTTACCCTAAGGAGAACTATGTGGAAAAACACTGACCCCATAGTTCTTTAATTGGATAAGCCCTTTTATCATGAAAAAGAAAAGCAGGGGTTTTTTTTTTTTTTTTAGGCATCTAAATGACAAGTTGCAAACCAATAGATTTGTAAAAATGTATTATTCGTATTAAATTATTAAAATGAAAGAGGATAAGCCCTTTATTCTTGCCTTCTACTAGAAGAATGATGCTACAGAACATTTTATCACAGATCATGTGTAAACCACATTTCAAGGGAACAGAAACTCCACCGCGTCTAAGACTTACCTGCCCGCCTGCGAAAATCACCGGAGAACTGGAGGGTTTGGGCCGATATGGGATGGTGACCCCCTTTGGGGGAGACTAGAAGGGAGAATTGAATATACTGTTAGAACTGGCTCTCACTACTAGGAGATAGAGATAATATACATCAAATACATACATAGGCACCCTATAACTAGACGGGAAGGCTTGGAAAATCTGCTTACCAGGCAGCAAAACTCGAATTACTGGAACAGCATTAGGCCAACAACCTATCAAGAGAAATATGCATCTTGTTGCTGCCCAGCTGTCCTTGGCTCTAATATTTCTCAGCCACAAACCCAGAAAAAGCATGTACCTTGCCTATATACTTACTTCTATTTCTTCTGAATCAATGACTAAATCAGGATGACTGTTATACAACTAGCATTTGCAGGAGGGGTCAGAAATGGCAGCCTACATATTTCTCTTGAGTATTAAAGCATATTATATAGTGAAAGGTGTTTGTTATAACATTGCCTATTAGTTTACACTAGCAACCTTTACGAGCCCAATTTGCCTGTAGAGTAACTCCAAGATACGGTGGCCTTATAGACTGCATAACTGCTATATTCAGTTAAGTGTTTTTAATACTATATGATAAATGAGAACTGAATGTACAGGAGAAGGCTACAGCTGGTAGGCTTTAACTGAACAGTCTGGCCAACAAGAAGCATGCACTCAACCATAGCATTTTAAGAGAAGATTTTACAAGCCAGCACACTACTTGTCAAATAGCTGTTAACTGGCATTCTATCACGACAATAAGGGTAACCATGTTGGAAAAGGGGGAATTCAAGAGACTAAAAGAGGAAATCCATTGAAATATGGGAGGTCAGGGCTCAGGGTTTACCTACAACTCCCACAATTCTTACCTCCAGCATTACCACACAGATCTGCTTGACACATTCTATGATGGACTGAGGGATTCCGGCAATAGTGATTGCACGTTCTGTGGAGTTCGGCAGCATATCCCCTGCAACCTGGACCTGTGCTCCTGTACTCTGGAAAACAAAGCAGCACAGCTGGATTTTGGAAAACATACTAAACTTAAGTCAAGTTCACATTATCTGACATTCTATTCACATCTGAACCCTAATGTAGACTTGTTAAACAGCATGTTAAACTATATATGTAGGCCAAGCAGGTAAAATAGTAACTGCAAACAAGTGAAATATTTTAACTGCCAACACTACCCAGCAACCACTGCAACTGTTCTCAAATCAGAACTTTACAATTTACATCAGAGTCATGAGTAAGTCACTGGAGTCCTAGTGCAGCCTTGCACACTGTGTAGAAGAGCTGCTTCCTAAGGAACTCAAGCAATGACACTGATCCATGAGGCTTTCTGTATGTGAATAGCATGAAGTCCACAGTAGGTGTTTGTAATGCAGAAGAGTGTTCCCCAAACAGGACAGAAAGCAGCCGTTTACCAGATGACAGATAGCAGGGTAACTATCCGGGTAACCATCAGGTATAAATGTGCGAATATGATTTACACACTCACCTCTCTGATTTCCTTTATTTTACAACCTCCTTTTCCAATCAGCGATCCACACTGGCTTGCAGGTACCACCAGGCGCAGTGTAACTGGTGGTTTGCTGGAGGCCGTGCTGTTTGTCATTGAACTGCTTATATCCTATGGAACATCCAAGCAAACGAGACAGGTAAAGCAAAGGTCAAGGCAATTTTTCCCCCTCACCTCTAGAAAAGCCATATACATATTTAATTAAACAGATTACTGCTCTGCATTCAGCACTCAGAAACCGTTCTGTAACATTTAGTGCCTATTCTACAAGCTGTAGAGGTGGTGCCATAAGACAGCAATTGTTGCCACTGCAGTATATGCTTCAAAGGTTAAAAGGAACTCATTAAGATCATGTGATTTCAATGAGAGGAAATCATGCATGTAGAATCAAGGGAACCACTGTAGGGCAAAAAGAAGCCATTCGAATTGTATACTTTTGTTAGACATGATTACTACTATTGCAGGAGGGCTAGTGAAGTTTCAAACTAACATAGAAAGCAAGAGATCCTGTGCCTTTATAATACTAAGGGGCTGTTTTATTAAGACACGGCACGGGAGGGGAGGAGGGGTGAGGTTGCCTAGTTGAGTAGGTGAAAAGCATGCATTTGATGTTAGGAGATGCTTCAGAGTTCCAACTCAGTTCCTTGACCGGTACTTCAGACCTCCTAAGCTGCTTATACTTACCCAGTGACTGAATAGGGAGGAAAGCAGTTCCAACATGAACCTAATCCTTGGTGCACAAATACCACTAATAATCCAGTGGTGACGCTATACACAATGGGATTCACATCTTCATTGCGTGAAACACGTCACAATATCAACTGCTAGGGCCGTGGCTCCATTCCGCCCAAAGGAGTGCATCCATATGAGGGGGTTGAGTGACTTCACGATTCTGTTCAACAGAACCCTAATGCAACATGGCCTTTACACAACTACAACATACCGAGCATGTATTTTCAGCTTTTAAACACCCAGAAGCTATATTGTTACCTCTTCCAGTTTGTCAATTATCATTGAGAAGGCTTTGAAGATGGCATTTGTTGGACCGGCCAAGGTGATAATTCTTTCTGGGCAATTGCCTTCTGAGATGTTAATACGAGCCCCACTCTAGGAAAAGAAAAAAAAACAGTCAGTATGCATTGTATTCCAGTTATTAACCTGCTTGGCACAAGTGGCAGTTCTATAACTTACTAAAATGAATACAGTTTTGGCATGAGCATTTAGAGTCCATAACACATCCTATCATTTCCTTCATGTGACTTGTCAGGAATATCAGAAATGTTACATTGTAATGACCTTGAGACCCCAAGGTACCAAGCACTAAACAAAACCACATGGGATCCAAGCAACGACTTGAAAGGGCAAGTGCTCTCATGTCCTCTGGCAGTCTAGCATGCTCTTTAGATGAGCAATTCTGCTGGCTCCCAACACTCTCTACATTCTACATTTAGGATAACCTTTAATAAAGCCACAGAGCCTAAAATCAGAAAAAATAAAAAAACAAGCTCAAAATGAATCAGTAAAGCAGGCTGTTATTCCTCCTCAACCAAGATGTGTTCTAACTCAGCTTTCCATCTCATGCAATTATATGGCATGTAAATCACACGTATAGTTAAAAGGGATGTTAAATGACATCAGTATTTCAAGGATAGGTGCACTTGAAATGTGCAAAAACAAGTCCAGCGAATAGAAGATCTAGATCAGACAAATCCCAGAGAGCCAATCCCCCTAGTGCACAGCTGGAATACTCTGTTCTACGGTTACCTTGCTCTTAATTTGCTACATTTGCACGCTCCTGGAGATGAACAAAAAAAAAATGCAGTTCCTGTCACGACTGGTTGAGAACCTGACATTAACATTTACTATAACAAACCAGGCAGAATGGTAACAAATATCACAACATAAAGGCCATACCTCTTCACGCATCTTTTTAACAGACTCTCCTTTCTTTCCAATGATGCTACCAACTTCCTAAAAAGAAAAAAATAAGTTACATTAGTTGAAGTCTGAGCATTAGTTGAAAGTTTTTGATGCATAGGGCATATTACAGAGATGCACACTCATGAGTGCCCTCAAAAAGTGGGTCCACTGCACAGAATGTCAGCTGTGACACAAAGGACCCCAGTCACACAGACAAGTAACTGTTCCCACCCATTAGAAGAGCAAACCAACTGAATAGAGACTTCTCTAGAGATTAGAAGAGACTACTGGCCAGGAGAAAAGCCCCCTAGACTTCTATGGGGCTCTACCACATAGGCGTGCCCAGCAGATCGGAGCTTGGCAGTGGATGTAAACAAATGTGGAAGGTTCTGGGGGCCAGATATCAGCAAGTACTCTGCAGAGGGGGGCAGAAAAAAATAAATAAAAACAAGAGCACTTTCTCTGAAATTGCCAGGCTTGGCCCAGAAATAAGGATCCTACAAAGTGACCCGAAATCAAAAGCACATAAGCTTTGAGAGCCAATTAAGTCCCCACATAGATCTGAAAAGTTCATTTTGAGCTTCTGTTTCACACACAAGAAAACCCCAATCACACACACACAACACAAGTGCTAATGGCTTAGAGATCCTCAGTATCCTATACTTGCCTTGCCATGCATCAGAAGTCTGATGGTGAGGGTAACATTCAGGCCTCCTTCAATAACACCGGTGTCCATGGTGAAACTAGTTCTGTTAGATCAGCGCAAGTCAGATGTACAAGGTAGTCTTTGGTCACAGGATAAGACAAGACTAGAAGGGAAAAAACAAAAACATTAGAAAAGTGAGGCGCGTAACAGGAAAAAATACATTTGCAGCCAATGTAAATCATAAATGATTACACCAGGCCATTATGATGGGAACAGGCAAACTATTTACTTGTCAGAATTTAATATGATCCAGGGCTCAGATTACTTGAACACATTTAAAGTGACACTAAACTCAGGATTTGAACTCTAATTACCAGAAATGTATCTTATTTATCACTCGGCTGCAGATCCTCAAATCATCTCTGAATTGGTGCTGACACTGTCCTTCCTTCTGGAGGGTGGCTACTTTTATTTCCCATGGTCCCTGTGTGTGTTGTAAAGAAGTCACCGCTCCAAGCTCACTCGTGTGATGGACTACAATCATAGTACAAATAAGTAACCCAAATGTGAGATAGTCCATCACAGGAATGAGCTTGGAGCGGTGACTTCTTTACAACGCACACAGGGAGGAGCTGTGCAGTGACACCAGTATCAAAACACATCACTTATTTACCTGTACAAGCCCACTGGAAACTCTTGGCTACTAGGCTTGAAACAGTCATGCAAGGGACTAAAATGGGGTTTTATACATGAAGCAAACCTGCGGCCAGCAAGAGAGACTATTGTACCTCTTGAAATGTTTTGGTGCCTAGCTGTCATACTGACCAAGAGCTTCGATCATTTGTCAATTACCAGCAAAAAAAAAAAAGATTTCGATTAAAGCTACAGTTAATCTTTGGAGATCCCTCTCCCCTGTTGGGATGCAATACTCAAACCTGGATTACAGAAATGTTTGAAGTGAAATGTTAAAAGTAAAAACCCGCGCTCGTCAGACAACTAACCAGCCATTTTTGTGGCCAATTAATTTGGGGACAATTAGCAATCCTTATGAAACAGCCAGTGATACACCGACATTTGTCTCCTAACAGACAGCATCAAACAGAAGCCATTACAAAGCATGAACACAGTTTTTTTTTTTTTTTTTAATACAACACACACCAGCCCTGCTAATTCTTTTTAAACTTGAAAGCTGTAACATTTTACTCAAGGGAAAACAAATGGAAGTAATTCAAACAAAGAGGTACATGAAAGGATTTTTGTACCAAGCCTTAATTTGCAGATGAGGTTACCCATATACAAAGAAGTTAAACCTTTTAAGAGCACTTGATCCCTTCGAGTATGCAAGCATGCCACATGTAGCGCACAGATTTCAGACTACTGTGTTCTTGAAAGAAACCCAAGGTGCGTTTTAATGCCAGCACTGGAAGCTTCCCAGATTCTAAGCCACTACAACATTACCAGACACACAAAAATGTCCAATAATGTAACCCATCAGGAGGAGGCCATGGCCACCAGATATATTTAATGGAGAGAGATCAGAGGAGAGTGATGGGTCAGTATGGGTGAATGGACTTTGAACTGCACTACTAAATAGCCATGGTACTGCTAGCACTGGGCTACATGCCAGCAAACAAAATCAACCACTACCACATGTAAATAGCTAAAAATGACCAAGTCATTCATCCCTACGTTAAAAACATCTCCCAGTACTATAGTATTAAAACAAGTTATAAAAGCAACATTGGAGCCATCCAACAAGTCCTACACATCTTGAGATGTCCCGCTAGCAATCCCAAGAGCTCCAAACCACAGAGATCAGCAACATTTATGTTTTAACACTCCCTAGTAGGGTCAAGGGCTCACATGCTGCCAGAGACATGTACTAGCCACCACAGTATTTAGCCAACAGGACGATCCAAAAAGGGACATGCTCCTAACACTGCCAGAAGTGTGGAAATCTGCAAGTAACAGTAGCGCAGAATATAAAGCAGGTAGAATGCTGGAGGGGGCATCTAAAGCTGTGTGGTATGGAAGCATAGTCTACATCATTACATAGAAAAACATTAAAGACAAGTTACTGAACAGAATAATTCTCAGCACAGAATGTTCAGAATTACTACAAAGTAGCAGATTACATTCTCCAGAAGCACTGCTGACTAAGGGGAACAGAGCAAGCCTTGTTTGCTGCTGCATAGCAGTATAATTGGGACGCACAATACACAAAAAACGGAGATCTGATTAAAAGATGAACAAAGATGAACTTTTGATGCAGTGCTAACTAAAACTGCTAAAAGTGCTAACTTTGTGTGGATTAGTTTACTTAAACCATGTGTACTACAGCAGCAAGGTCAACAGGGGGGTCTCCGGGGCCGAGTAACAAAAATGAAGATACTGAACATACTTGGGCCATCAATGTAGAACAAAAAGCATTATTTTTATTTTTTTTAAAGATATGGAAAGTGAGGAGTTAGAAGTCCTGTCAGTTTATTATTGCTGCCTACATCCCATTAGGGAGATTCACTAGTTTCCGACTGCCCTGATAACAAATGTCAATGGGAATGAATGAGGGTAAATCCAAACCCCCCAAAAAGAAAAACCCTAGTGCATCTAATCCAAAAACAGGGAAAAAAATGGTTAAGCTTTAGATAGATATACTTTATACTATCATTGTGCGCATTACTGAACTGTTCCCATAAACATTTGAAAATCTCAGCCCATTCCTCAGTCTTCCCGCAAACCTTCCATGACATTCAACACTAGGATGTTATCATCTGACCTACAGATTTTAGATGGCAAACTTTAAATTTAAAAAAAAACCCACCCCATCCTGCTGTGTATTATGTTTTTACAGTCATTTTAACTAGAATGATCTATGGAAATATTTAGGTGAAAGGATCCCAGAGTGAGTTTTGTTCTGCTCATGTTAATTACAAGTCATTTTCAGTATAACTGCTCATCAAAAACATTTTAGAACCATTAGACTTCTGTAGTTCACGGTTGAAGAAAATCAATTGAGTTTATATGGAGAGAGGGGAGCTCCGGTGAGGCCGCTCACAATACAAGGTGCCCTTTATCCAGGGGAATTGAAGAAATGTGTAAAGGGTCCAATGGGAGCGCCTAACCAAATATCAAAGAACCCAAAATCTTTCAATATGAGTGGCGCTCATGACAAGACAATGGAAAGCGCGCTTCAGGGGTTCTAAACACGTATTAATAATGTAACTGGACTAATAGGGTGCTTTTAGTGCTTGAATGTATAGAATAAAAAGCAGCATTGGCAGTTACCAGCAGGTTACAGAGCCTCACGCACCCAGTACTAATAGCATCCTATGGAGTCCAGTTACAGCATTTATAAGGGAGGGGAGGTGTCTGAACCTCAGGAAAGGATTGACTGCTTTCCATGTTGTCTTCTATGAGGATTGACCAGTGACTGGTCATTTGCTGACCAGATAAATGAATCTGTCAATGACTGACAACACTAATGATAAAACTATGCAAGTATTGGGTCATTTATAGAGTTTCAGGATCCCACACAACCAGATCCTCCATGTGCAGCTGCATTAAGGACCGCACTCGTATCTATAGAGAAAATGGGTCCATTGTGCAGCATACCTATAACAAAAAAATAATAATTGTAAGTTACACAATAAAAAAAAATTGTGTGCGTACAATTCCATTTCTACAACCCAAAAAGCACATTAAACAGATTTATCTTCTTTTTTTACTTTACTATCTGGGGCTTCTGTGAAATATCAGGGGTCTAAACAGATCCAATATTTCCCTTTTACAATAGAAAACGATTGAGGACACAGTCCTTAATCTCTTTCTGCAGCATGTTATAAATGATCAGGAATCCTCTATACTGCGTCTTCCTGTTCATTCATAACTTATGGATATAGTATGTGTTACTATGTACACAAGCATGAAGGAACAGGAAGTGATGGAGATCACTCCCATTCATTACTGTTATATAATAACTCATTATGTCCAATTATTTACAAACATTCAGCGATCACCGAAAGTTTGTACCTGCTCTCCACCCTGTATCGGCTCTCACATGAGGCTCAGTGGGCAGTGAGTGGAGGAGCGCTTGGTCTCCAGCGACAGCTGATTCCTCTCAAGATGTGTCACAGTAGACCGAGTGGGGTGGGGCGGTTGGAGAGCTCAGCCTCCTGTGGCACCCTCACAGTGCTCTCTACCCCCGGCCCGCTCGGCCTCCTGACCGTTTCTCGTCTGCCCGTTGTGTCAGAGGGGACAGAGCAGTCACCTGGCAGGGAGGAGAGAAACTAAGGAGGCACCGCAATTTCGGCCAGAAAATTGCACTTTCTGCATTTTGCCCAAATTGCCATTTTTGGCCGCTGAAATTCAGTGCATACCTAGTTTTGGATCCATTCGGGAGAGCCGACCGTCAAAGCTGGCCATACAGCACAGATTTTAGTATGAACATTTGGAGGGAAAATCCCGTTGGAACATTTGGTAATGCCAGACTTGCAGAATGTTCTTTGAAATTCAGTTTGATTTTTGAATTTCCAAAAAGAAAACCACCTATGGGTAGAATTTCTACTTGCGTCTCCAGTGCTCCCCCACTACTCCTGTATATGCAAAAATCCCCTGTAGGACATAAGCAAATCTAAACCCAAATAACAGAAATGCTTTATGTTGTAGCTCACCAGCCCTTCGATGCGGTAGCTGTGTTAGTTTTCTTTTTCAGGCTAACAACATTTTCAGCAAGTACAGGAAATACCTGTTGATCTTGCCAGAAACAGTGTCCTTGTCACTTCCTGTGAGCTGAGAAGAAAGCACAAACATCCTCATCTTTCCTGTGTAAACTATTAGACTATCAGTCCACCATCTAATGGAGATGAACAGAGCTCCTCTGGCAAAGGATATAGATAAGGTGTGCAGAAATATTTTGTAAAGGTGGCCATATACTGTGCATATTTCGGCAAGTTCATCAAGAACCTTTCGGCCAACATCCCTCAACCAGTTGATCAAAAGTGCCGGTCGGAAAAATCTTCAAACGAACATTGAGCTGCCGGCTGTGTTGGGGTATTCGGACAGCGGGACATTCCTCCACCAACACTCATAAGCTTTGTAGGAATCAGTGTGTGGATTGTACAAAAAATAAATAAAAAAATAGAACAGTGTATGGGCAGCTTAACCTAGATCTCCCTCCCATTTCCCTATTAAATAGTAGTCCTCTGAACGCCTTCAACCAAGATGATGTTCCTGGTGTATTGCAATTTGGTCCAGTTGCAGGCACCAGAGGGAATCTGACAGGTCATTTTGTGACGTAGCAAAAACTTTGCATAACTTCTCTTCTAGTAGGGCAAGCAGATCAAGCTGGAGCTCATGTCTGCATGTCGAGCCCATGCACACTAGGCACTGCATCAACGTACAGTTTATGCATTGTAGGGCATGTTGTGTTAAGGCAGCTCATTCGCTTTGGACAGTCTGAACTGTTGAACCTTAACGCACATGTACTTGCACTTTTTGTAATGCAGCAGGGTGTAATGGCTAGGTGTCTTAAAGTGACCAACATGAATGACAACAATACCCTTATCCAAAGGATAAATATCCTAAATGAAATCCTAAATTGATCCTAAATGAAAAATGAATAGGAGCATTTTCTAGAAAAAAAAAAAGCATGTGCTTACCTGTAATGCTGACCTACTGAACTGAATGATCTGTATCTACACCAATCATGCAGATCATGAATTATAGCTTCTCTAGTTGCATACTTGATCTGGGTAGGCAACTCAAAGTGTTAACACCCCTGGATGAGCATAATAGGCGAGCAACAACAAATTTGAAATGGAACAATGGTTTTCTACATAGTTCTCTAAACACTGGCTTCAATTAAAGTAAACCGGTCACCGGATATAAGTGATGGGCTATCCTCCTCCCCTAAGGTAAACCTATCTTATACCAAAAAATTTTTGCGAAACCCCAAATCCAGTCACACACTATACACAAAGCTAGAATGCATTGCCTTGTCCCCCTCTATGTAAGCACATGCTATAGAGAAGCATGCACCCTGTATTTTGGGATAACATAGGCAGGCCACCACTCAGCTGGAAGTCTACATTTGCAGTTTTAATAGGTGAATGTATAAGCTACAGGGAGTCTCAATTTCCTGCAACAAAACTGATAATTCCAAAAAGTTTATAAAAAAAGATTGCCAAGAGAGTGTATCTATTTTAAACAGGGGACAAAATGTTAAAGTCAAATTAATTGCATCCTAGCAATTATGAAAAGTTCAGAAGCCAGTCCAGATATAGCATCTGACAACTGACAACTTCAGTTTGGACACAAGCCAAACCTGCAACAGTCATCATTACCCTTCAACTACAAGGCCATGTGCAGACATTAACATGAATGTCATATAGGAGACTACACGTTTAAGTGTACAATCACAGCATTTTAATTTGCTCAAAACAAAAATTATATATGATTGTACTAATTAATCTCCAACAGCCACATCCTTCCGAGGTAAACACACTGGCTCCAACATCTTCATAGATGAACATTGATGCGCACTCACTCATTACAAGTGTTGAAAGGACAAAAGATCCAGCTGGTGCTGTGACTAAGCCATGTATATACGATATGTTCAGCTTCTCCAACAGATCTGAACAACATGTACATGACACAGAATGACGGCCAGGTGGACTACAAAAGCACAGGCTAAAGGTCCTCAAATTAAAGGAGTATGGGGTGACCAAGTTCTCAAAAGGAACCTCGTGTTTGCTGCACCAAAACAGGTGCAAAATCTCATAGGGGTCTCCCAACACGTGGGGGGACCTGGATATTGGTGCCAACATGGTTGTTAAAGGCAATCTTTTATAATAAGGAAATGGGCTTATGTACAGGGGCATTAAAAAAAAAAAAACCCACAGCGTTCAGAATATGTAGATTTTTACTGACCTGACCGCAGAGATATTGTATATTATGGGACGTAATCGGCGTTCAAAGCAGACAACTCTACATCTGCAGCCTGTGTAATGACATGTGCAGGCTGAGATTGGAAACAGGGCAATGGTAGAGAAGCATCACAGATGTGAACAGACATTTGTAATCAGAAGCACATAATGGAGCGGTCCATGCATTTATTCACGGGATCTTTCTGCCAGTAAGAGCCTGCTCAGCCATTAGTAATATATTCAGGTCTCTTGCACACTTCATAAAATACAGAATAAGATCCACCTTATAAAAGAGAACGGTCTGTAAAGTGGTTCTGCTTACACGTGGGTAAGATGTTCACATCAACAAGATTCTTCTTTACTACAGGTATTTATTTATACAGTGCTTTACATACTGCACATTCACATCTGTCCCTGCCCTCAAGGAGCCAATTAACCTTCCAGCATGTCTTTGGAGTGTGGGAGGAACCGGGGACCCCCAGTGCTGCAAGGCAGACGTGCTAACCACTACCATTGCTCTAGTTCTGTTTTCAATCCCAGCATGCACCTGTGTTTACATTCACACAAATGCAGAACTGCTGAACAGTGAAGGAGGATTTACTACTTTGATGTTACGCAGCCATGTGCATGGACCCATAACATGCAATACGTCTGCGCTCCATACAGCGCCTTACGGATATGAACGCAGTGCTTGTAAGAAACCCATAGGGGAAACCTACATAGGCTCTTCCTCATGAGTCTTATGGGAAGCACAAACCTCTCAATGAGACATGGTAAGCAAATTAGACACTCAAAAGATTAATCTTCCATTGAGTTGATTTCCCACCTCCCAAAAATAAGCAGATACATGTCTAGGCCGGATGGTGGAGGACAGGCCCAGCGATCACCTGTAACGCTGAGCATCTACGGCCTTACAGAGCTGCGCCGCCTGGAGCTGCCGGTCACGTGGTGTGCACTCAGACCCCCCTCAGGGATGGAAATGGTTAACATGGGCGGCCATGGGAAGTGCGATCGCCTCACATGGTGCGCCTGGGGCCTAGCCCGCTGTCCTAACAACAAAGCGAGGGCAAGGGAGACCGAAGCGATGCTTACCTTCACACAGGACGAGATGTGACCGCCGCAAGGAGGGGAGAGGACCGAGCGGGGATGGAGACCGGGGAAGGGAGGATAGGGGGAGGAAAAACAAGGGAGGAATGGGGAGGAAGGAACGATCCGGAGGCGAAGGGGGCCCCGGGGAGGGAGGGAAGGAGAGAGCCGGGCGGGCGAGGAATGGCGATGGCGGGAGGGGCTGGCGGGAGCTGCGGCTTCTGCTGCTGCCTCTGCTGCTCTGGGAGGGGGAGAGGAGGCGCGCGCTGCTATCAACCCGCCCTCGCCGGAAGTCAGAGCTTCCCGTTGGTGGCCGCCAGGGGGAGCTCTAGGAAAGCCATTTCGCGAACTTAGGGGAGCCCCGGTGCTTGAAGAAGGAGAGAGGAGTGGACGTACTGGGGCTATCAATATTACAAAGTGAAAATGAAGCGGAGGGGGCTCGTACGTTGCGCAAGGAGAAACAAGCATCTGAAATCCCGACTGGCTCTCTGTTATTTTTGCGACGCCATCTTTCTACACCTTTTTTTTTTCCCTTACATGAGCAGCATGATATAGCCCGTGCTCCAGCGTAACGTCTGCGAGTACCAAGATGGAGGAGGTGGCGCGTGACGTTCTTTTTATTGGGCCGTTTACTTTGCTTATTTTTGAACACGAGCCGTCTGTTCTTCCATTATATAGCAATGTTATACTCATGGTGGCACTAGAACGCTGTAAAGAGCTTCTGCTCAGGAAGCAGCGACGATAGGTTACCAAGATGGCTGGTGGGAGGAGCTTAGGCGGGCAGGGATGCCTTGAGTGAAACAAAATGGCAGCGGGAACGCTTCCGGCGTCAGCTGATGTTGAATAGTACGCTTCAAGATGGCTGACAGCTAGTTGGTGCTTTTAAAGTAACCCTATCTGAAGAGAAATCTGGAGGCTCCTTTAGCTAAACTTTCCTCCTGAAAATGTTAGTTGCCTGGCTCTCATTTTGCTTTAATATTGTTGCTGACATGGGCCAAGCGTGTAGCTCAGGACTTTAATGACTTGTTTATGGGCTAGTGTCTAAGCTAGCCGCACGCCACTACATTTGTTTTCGGGGAAAAAAATTGTTTTTGGAATAATTGTTTGATTTTGTCATAGTTAATGGGATCAGACCGACAATCGTTTTTAAAAAAACTGAAGGAGCAGGACAGAAATGTTTTTCTCAAATAAACACAGTTATAACCATGAATGTGGTTTTATTCGGGGAAACACAGTTAAAGGGTAAATCCACTTTCCCGGGTGACTGCGTTGGCTAATAAGTGTTTGCCATTTGTGAGCGAAATTCAAAATACAGAGCGCAGGGCTGCACTACACAGAGCACCAGCGGAGAGGAAGGAACGTTCGCCCAAAGGTAAGTATGGGGGGGGGGATTCCATTTTCCCAAATTTACCTGGAAAACTGGAATTACCCTTTAATTCCAACATCTAATGTTAAATTAAAAACATTTGGAATTACATTGTACAAGTTTCTGATGGCATTATCAAATATCCTTGCTAGATGTTTCATATTGTACCAGTATATGGCCAACTTAACTACCTCCGGGCCGGCCGTAGTAAAAAAACGGCCGGCCAGGAGCTCTCTCGATCTGAGCGGGCATCTCTAGACGTCCGCTCAGACACGCCCCGGCGCGCGCGAGCGGGAAATGGTCGGTATTAAGGGGGTCTAAACACCTGGTCTTGAAGTGGTTAAAGATCTCCAGGAACTGATAAAAACACCCTTGCGGTAGGACTAGCCGCTGCACTGTAAGGGTTAGTTGCACGTTTTGTCTAGGGCTTAGGCCTGGTTCACACCTGTGCGTATTGCATAAGCGCGTCACACGCGCGTTTTCGTCCCGGAGTTTGGTGCGTTTTCATGTGCGTTTTTAGTGCGTTTTTTTTACATTAGAAACGCGCGTTGCACGCGCGTTTTGAAGCGTTTTGGAGCTATAGGTATGAAATTAATTATTAATGTGTACTAATTTATGAATATAAATCAGTACATATCAATCACCAATTACATATAAACACTGTCAGCTGGCGATTTGCTCATGCAGCGAGCTGTGATCGACAATCTGGGAGCTACACCGGTTTGTGGAACTACAAATAAGAGATCATAAATTGAATACGATTTGTGTTAAGCCTCATAAAAAACCACACAAACTCATTGTTAAATTAGCTTAAAATTTTATATAAAAATAAACAGGCCATCTCAACATTCTCCTGCTCAACCGGATAGGAGAAGAAACTTAACACGGTGCCTTTACACAGACTTTTGAAGGCCAAATTTAGAGATTTTGATAGTTTGGGAGCGCAAAATTAGGCTCATCCACCTGCATGTCCTCCCTCATTCCACGTGTGGAATAGCCAGCCGGTTGTTGTGTGTGTTGTGACAGGCTGGTGGAGGGATAAATATAGGGGGAATGTGGGCGTGGGTGCCATGTTTCCTGGTGTTGCTGCATGGGTGTGTGTGTGTATGTATCAGAGGCATGTGTGTGCATGCGATGGACATGCTGAGGTGGTTGTCGAATGGGAGGGGCAGGTATGGGTGCAGTGTCATGCGGTTGTAAGTCTTCGGGGAGAATTAGGGAATCGACAAATCGAATTAGTCGTTCCCGTGCTGCCGACTGTCTGTGTAAAGGCACCATGTTTAGTTTCTCCTCCAAGCTGAGCAGGAAATGACCTGCGCTGGAAAGCCTGGGGAGAGGATTTGTAACGCTGTCCAGGACCTCCAGCAGCCTGCTCTCCTCCCTGGCAAAACGTGGCCGCCGTGTCCTGACAACGCTACGCCGGCGTAGCGTGCCCCTCGTTCTGGTGGCCGAGGTGCCTGGTGTCGGCGGTGCTGTTGTTGGAGGTGGGGCTGGTGGTGTTGCTGGTGGTGGGCTCAGTGGTCCTGGGGAGAACGCCAGCACTGTTGGTGATGTGGCAGATTCGACCTCCTCCTCTTCAGGCCTCTCACCAGGCTCCCAGCTACTGTCGGTGCTGTAAAGAGTAATAAACAAGACATAAGTATATATGTCCTATATATATTATTCTATGCATGTTACATGAGACTACTAATTGAAATGTACGTGACTTGCCTCCGCATTTCAATACACGGGATTAGGAAGGAGAGCTGGTCCGCGTATATGTATTTGTACGGGGCACTGGCAGCCGCGCCACTGCGGTATTCCCGCTCCTTCCGGCGTTGACGTGTAAACGCGTCTTTAATGCTGCGCCATTTTTTTTTCATAATATCAACTGTGGAAACAAAATGTAAACATGAACTAATTAATTTAACTTTTTCCCTTGATCTGATACCAATAAAATATATCTGATTTTAAAACAGACTTGAGTATTTTGTTTATAACAATAAGTGCACGCATGTTACATTAAAATATCTGCACGCATGAGACATTAAAATAGCTGCACGCATGAGACATTAAAATAGCTGCACGCATGATACATTAAAATAGCTGCACGCATGGGACATAAATAGCTGCACGCATGGGACATTACAATAGCTGCACGCATGTTACATTAAAATAGCTGCACGCATGACAGATTAAAATAGCTGCACGCATGGGACATAAATAGCTGCACGCATGGGACATAAATAGCTGCACGCATGGGACATAAATAGCTGCACGCATGGGACATAAATAGCTGCACGCATGGGACATAAATAGCTGCACGCATGGGACATTACTATAGCTGTATGCAATGCAAGTGTATGCAATCAATGAACATATGACGCAAAACAGTGCATAGCGTATGCAAGAAAATATTCAACATTTGCTAATGTACCTTTGGATTCTTTAACTTGCTTTGGGAAGGTTTCCCAGTCCGGCCACGAAGCTTCGGCTATCTCCACCCAGGCACGTTGCCTTATGCGCCTGTTTTTGTAATGCGCATGGCGCATGTCATAAATACATGGCCTTCCCTCCACCTGTCTTATGAAGGCCTCAGATTCAAGCATGGCATCCTCCATCTTCTTCTTCAACAACAGCTCTGTGGGGGAGTGGTCTTCTGTGGACATGTGTGGAACGCGCGTTCTATGCGCGATTTCAGTGATTTCGTCCGTTCCCGTCGAAGTCTATGGGCACTAACGCGCTACAAAACGGACCAATACGCAGCAAAAACGCTTCGGGACCTTTTCAAGCGTGGCCCGTTTTGTAGTGCGTTCGGGACGGACGGAAATACGGACAGGTGGGAACTATACCATTCACTTCAATGATTTTTACATTTTGGTCCGTTTTGTAGTGCGTTCATCGAGCGTAGGACGCACTACAAAACGGTCAGGTGTGAACCAGCACTTAAAGTATCATTATACAGGATTTATATAGCGCCAATAGTTTGTGCAGCGCTTTACAATATAGGGAAGACATTACAATCACAATACAATTCAAGACAAGATGGTAAGGAGGGCCCTGCCCCTGAGAGCTTACAATCTGAAAGGAAGGGGCAAGTGATACATGAGGAGGGAGCTGTGTGGGGATGATTGTTTGAGAAAGTGATAGTTCAGTGGTTAGGTTGAGGTGGGATAGGCTTCCATGAAGAGATGAGTCTTAAGGTGCCCATACACCTTATTACCTTTAAGGTGCCCTTACACCTTACGATTATCGGACAAAACGTTTCGTCCGATGATCGAATAGTCGTACGATGTTCGTACGGCAGCCCCATCCTGCCCCGATGATCGCCAAGATTAATTTTGCCGTAATTAACAAAAAGCACCTGAATGAAATGCGGTAATTGATTTGTCGTATTTTCGTTCGCGCATGCGCAGTGTAGATCGTACGACATTTGACGGACGGAAACACCAGCAACCTTACGACAATCGTACGATCGAGCAAAGTTTTCAAACATGCTTGACCGTCAAAAGTCGTACGATTGTACAGTAATGTCGGTTCGGGCACTCTATTCACACGTACGATTGTCGTTCGAAAAGTCGATCGCATACGATTATCGTCCGATAATCGTAAGGTGTATGGGCACCTTCAAGGGATCGCTTAAGGGCAGTCAGTGTGGGAGATAGACGGACAGGTTGGGGTAGAGAGTTCCATAGGATGGGAGGGACTCTAGAGAAGTCCTGGAGGTGAGCATGAGAGGAGTTGATGAGGGAACTAGAAAGCAGGAGGTCTTGTGAAGAGCGGAGGGGATGGTTAGGGTGATACTTTGAGACCAGGTTTTAATAAAGCAGATATACTAATCTGATTCTCTGTGGTCAGCACTCACTTCTCCCTCCTCTCCAGGTGTGGAATGACACTCAGCATCCTCATGTCTAATACAAGGCAA